CTTTTTTTATATGGTCACCAGCCGGTTAAAGATAACTTGGTTTACAACAATCAGGAAAAGTAAGTGTTTTTAAATTCATCCTCGATTATGAGAGCTCGGCGTTTACAAGAAGCGTTTTCAAGAAGTATATAGGAGAACACTTCGAGCAGCCAAAGATGAAAGACACTTGCTAAGGTTTTTTAACTACTGTTTATCATTGTCTGTTCCTGGGACCTCATCATAGCCGGATTCATGGACAAATTTTTGAGATTTAAAACCCAAAAATGAAGGAGGCAATTTGTTTTCCTTCGACGCTACCATCGATGAGTGAGTGGAGCCACAATTCTTGTGATGTCGGAAACTGCCAGTATTATATAATATTTGCTTTATATCAGCGCTGGATTTTAATTATCTTATTTGGCCTACTGTAAGAGTCATCGTAGCTCTTCTTAGTCGGCTTCATCGTGGTCGTTAAGGAAATTTATACCTCTGTGACCTGTGACACTGACGATATGTTCTGAACTTACAATCTTTGCTTCTTCAGCATCCTGACTGTTGTTTTTCTTGTACTATGATTCGTAAACTTTTTTCTCACTTTCTTTAAGGCAAGTACCAGCTGCGGATACTTTCATTATGTGAGTTGTGGTATTTTTGCCCATTGGTTTAGTTTGGACCAGATGTTTAAATTTTCGGTTTCATTTGCTACTGAGGTAGAAAAAAACACAGACCATCGCATGGATGTTTTAATAGAGGTCTTCGCTCCACAAGACTCAAAGAGAGCAACAAATTACGTACATGACTTGAAATCCCTGTTGTTATCATGGAATTGTATCCTTGTTCATTCTGTAGCTGTCATGGTTTGTGTGTGGTTGCAACCGTTTTTGTTCTTTATTTTTTTACTTTAACGTAGTCTGTTACAAGTAGATTGTTTTCTAGTTTCTCTGGCTCATTTTCCTCGATTTTGTTGACAGTATTTTTCTCTTAGCAACGCATTTTCAATACATTTAGCCAGAAAGACGTACTTTTTACTGTGTTCGGGTTTTTGGAATATTTTTTTAACTTTTCTATTGTTGTTTTGCTTACAAAATTAAATCCCGCTGTCGTCTGCTGAAAACCATGGCCATTTTCTTGAATTTTTGTTGTTAAAACATCTCTAATCTGATTGGTTCTTGTTGGTTTCTTTTGTGTTTTCAGCCAATAAGAAAGCATTTGTAATTTGCACTCGTGTTACAAGTTTGCACTCGTGTTACACATTTTGCACTCGTGTTACAGAAGAGCTGCACTCCTTTCTCAGCCAATCAGAATTAAGTAATTTTTTCGTGTATATTATTACGCTCGAAACAAACAGGCCCTAGATTATCACCTTATATGACGAGTGTTTTTTAACTGTGGAAGACGCATGCATCGATTAGAAAATACGGACATTTCAAGCTTTGTTTGACGTTGTTGAAATCCTTTTGCGAACCAGACGACCAAGCATTTTTCGTCGGAATATGTACTTCAAAGAAGTATAAACGCTAATCATAAGCAGGCGTTAAAAGTACTTGGTACCAACCCCTTTCGAGTGTTTTGATTAGTTTCCAGTTCATTTTCGGCTTGGGTGACGCGCTGTCGCTAATGGCTAGTGGCGAATAGCTGCAGTCCTCAGTGTTTGTCAGCCATTTTGTTTCCACTAGTTCCCAGGGAAGCCCGTGAGTTCAACACATGCGTATTTTGCGTTTTATCGTCACGTGGGCCTTTTGAACCAATGAAAAGGTGTGAAAATTGTCTGTTTCCATGCGGGCGCTTTCATGTCAAAGAAGACGAACTGTAAAGCGTGCGTTTTGCAACAAGAAGTATTCCTAACGTTGGTGAGTGATGTTTTTCTCAATTTAAGTTTCGATATTTTGCCTGTGTTGCCTCCCCTTTTCGCATATCTGAACAAGTTCGATCGGTCACCTTTGATCACGTCAGGTTGTTTTTGTGTTCATTTGCCTTAAAATCTCCACTTTCTGTTTGCAGATACTTATTCGTTGCTGTCAAAAGCAAACTGTATGGCCCTGAAGAGCACGACATCAGCCAAAAGTCTACACGATAAGCAATTAATCAAACTTTAACTTGGAGTTTCGATTCGGAAGCTGCTCCATGAAAATACTGCATTTGTGTTGTATTAGTGTTCGTGGTATTATATTGCTATAGTTTTTCAATTTTTCGTTTCAAAAGCTATTTCTTACCAATGTAAAAGGTATTCTTATTCATATGTTTATACTATTTCTACTATTCTGGTGATTTTTACAAGCGTGTTTTAAACACCACATTTGCTTAAGCAGATTGAAACCTACATACATTAAAGACTATGTCAATTCTATGTAATTTCTGTTTAAAGTCTAATTAAAGGCTGTATGTGTGATATGTTTTACCTACTCAAATACTCCTATTTCAAACCTATGCAAAGACTAGTTGTTCTGTGTTTTCCCTATTTTAATGCTATGCAAAGTATATGTCACCTTCAAAAAAGGCTATGCTTATCATATGTTTTTACTATTTCTAGGCTATCTAAATTCTAAGCAAACCCTATTCAAAAGCTATTTAATCAACTGTTCCCTGTTCCATTTTACTATGTAAACTCTATTTCAGTCCTATGTGAAGGCTATTTATTTTCTATGATTTTTGTATAAGGTTGACTATGAAGTCTAAAATCTCTTTCCAAAAGCTAAGTAAATTATATGTATAGGCTATGTGGAAACTATGTCATTTCTTCCTTTTTTCCTACCTTTAAAAACTGCATAGCTTTTAAGTAGGTTCCGTTTGACCAGTGAAAACATAGCATTTTCGATACAAAAAAAATAGTCCTGGCATAGAAACAACATAGGATCTGGTTAAAGCAATGTATGACTGATTGATATAGG